AAAAAAAAAAAGCTAAAATATAAAATCACTACGTCAGTTTTGCAATAAATACATGACGATAGTTTCAACGAAACCGTGATCTTTATAGTTGATAGACGACTGTATTTTAACAGTCAGTCATCTTTAGGGATAATAGATGACGATTTTTTTTAAAATCGTCGTCTTTTCAGCTAATACACGACGTTTTTCAACAAAACCGTCGTCTATAGATATCTATAGACGACGGTTTTAAAAGAACCGTCGTCTTTACATATAATAGACGACGGTTCTTTCATAAAAACCGTCGTCTTTACAACTAATAGACGACGGTTCTTTTAAAAACCGTCGTCTTTACATGTAATAGACGACGGTTAATTACCGTCGTAATTTGACATTTAAAAAGACGACTGTCGATTTAACGACGATTTGAAAAAGAAAAAGACGACGGTGTTTCCCCGTCGTCTATTTCAATTTTTGTAGTAGTGTCTTTTAGAAATTCTTAGTGAAAAAAAAGAGGAGAGATTCACTATTATACCCAATATAGGAGCTCAAATTATAAAAAGAAAAAAACGTATATGAAATGAACTTTAGAAACACACCCAAAGCCCATTTACAACAGTCAATAGGGCATCAAAGTAATTTAAGAATCAAAATTAAATTTAATAGGGCCAGCTGTCTTTTTTTGGATTTGTTTATAGAAATTAAATTGTGTATGGTTTATCTATATTATTAGTACTAAGAATGGGTATATGACTAAATATCTCAACTAAGATATTAAATGCCGATATTATCGGCGTTATTATCCCGATAATGTCGGTTTTTTGGGGGGCCGATATTTTCGCAACTATCCATGGAGTTATCGTCAATATATCGATATTTTTATCGATAATATCGGGGACGATAATTTCAACATTTTTATGAATGATTTGGGCAATATATGAAACCCAAAAATACATGAATTTTTTTGAAAAGCCTCCCCTATTGCGCATAGAGGGATTCGAACCCCTCCCCTCTATCAACAGCCACATCGCCTTATCCATCTCACTGAGGATGTGTTTGTGATTATATTTTTGGCGTGTAATATTTATAACGTCTTTAAAATGTCTGCAAGCTAATATTTATTATCTAGGATAAATTTCGATATTGAAAAAAACACCAAGGGGATTCGAACCCCTCCCATTTTATTCCTTCAACACCTTAACCACCATATCACTTATGTTTTTGTGAAAATATGCTAAAATATTTATATATATACATGGTTTTGTTTTGAATTCTTTTTGCAAGAAACAAATTTTCACATGAGATGAGAATGACTACTCTTCACAATATACTTACTCTACACATAGAGATGATGAAGATAGTGAAAATTTTGAACCTCATAGGAACACTATGTGGTACTAAGTCACTCATGTATCTTACTGACACTGTGTTGGAAATTGATGATATTGATGTCCTCCGTGCGGAACCTTTTGTTGGTGACCCACCCCCCAGTTTCAAGGCTATGCTGATTGGATCTTCCATCTTTGAGTCTTCTCCAAAGCAACCAGCTGATTTGGTTGATGAGAAATTTGAGATTGATGTTGGCGATTATGAGATTTTGGAGACCCCTAATGGCCCTTCGGTGAGATTTTCTGACAAAATCAAGGAAAAACTGTATCGGCCTTGGAGGAACGCCCTTATTATCAAATTGGTGGGGAAATCTCATACCTTCAACTTTGTCCAAACCCGGCTTAAACAGAGATGGAACCCCAAGGGCCCTATGCAACTTGTGGATCTCGACAATGATTTTTTCATTGTCAGATTTGTGTTGGAACAAGATCTGCAAAAGGTTATTACTGGTGGACCATGGGTGGTGGCTGGTCAGTATGTAGCGATGCAGCGATGGAGGCCAGGCTTTTGTGCTTCAACGGAAAATATTGATCGCCTAACGGTTTGGGTTAGATTGACAGGTATGTACGTGGAATTTTTGAAAGCTGAAACTGTGAAGATTATTGGTGATTTGCTGGGCACAACCTATAAGGTGGATGCTCACACCGTTGGGCAATCCAGGGGCAAATATGCCCGCGTGTGTGTGGAAATAGATACTAGTAAGCCTTTACTTCCGTCTGTGGAAATTGAAGGTAAGATTGTGAGGTTGGAATATGAAAATTTACCTGTAATATGCTTTAAATGTGGTAGAATTGGTCACGGACAAGAAAATTGTGTGGAGAATTCTAAGGCTGGTCAAGGTGATACTAGTATGGGACAAGCTAAGACTTGTAATCCCATTCGGAGGGATAAGGGTCCAGATGTACAGGTCCGGATTGATGGCAAGGAACCTCCTCTTGTTGAAAACTCTGAGGAACCCCCTCCGGGGTTTGGGCCCTGGAATCTAGTCACCAATAGGAGATTTGGTAAGAAAAAGGCTATGAATATAGAGGACAAATCTGGGTCGAAAAATTTGCATGAGCGGCATTCTGGCTCCCGTTTTCAGGTTTTTCAAGAAGAAGAGGTCACTGGTGATCAGGGGATTTTTGTGAAGCTGACGGAAAATAAAAACAAGAAGATTTCTTCAAACGGTAAAAAAGTGGAGTTGCCGCTTAAAGGAAGCTCTCAGCCAGTGTCCAA